GCCAGCGCCCGGCACCCCCGGCCCCGCCGAGTTTTGGCCTTTTAAGGGCATCTTGGGCCATTCTCGGGAATGAATGGGTTTGGGGGCCGGCGACACACCCCGACAGAATCACGGTGACCTCCATGGGGCTGCGGGTGCAGCCTGTGGAGGGGGGTGGGAAGTTGTTCTGCGGGCACGGCTGGTGGCTGGTGTCGCTCCGAGCGGGGCTGGTGGCCTCGTGGGACATCAGAAGTTTGTCTCCGTGGTGGATGACCACTAGCCCATGTCTTGGTTTGGCTGAGGCTGGCATGGTGCAGCACTGGGATCCCCCATCTCAGAGGAGGCTCTGGGGCCAGGAGACACGTGGGGGTCTGGCAGCCCCAGGGCCAGCTCTGAGGGGTCCCCCAAATCCCCACCTGTTTATTGACTGTCCCATATTTCACCCCATTACTGTAGGTTTCCTGAAAAGCTCTAAGCAGTGGCATGTCTCCTGCCCATGCTTCTGCTCCTCAGAGACCAGTGGGATTTGCAGGAAGGTTTTGCTTTTCCTTTGGCACCAAGTTGAACTCTCAGACCCAGCTCCTTTGGGGTGCAGAAAGTGGCTTGGGGGGGGGGTTTTTTCCATTTTTGGGACATGTCTTCTCACTCAACCCCTGTTAGTGCCTGTGGGGCTGTGGGGATCCCATGGGGCTGTGGCACTGCAGGTGTCCATGGGAAGAGAAGGGGTGAAAGTCCAGTGGAGAACCAGGAAGATCATGGCAAGGCGTGGTCATTTGAGTTTAGTGGCACCTGGGGCTGCCAGGACCCTGCCACCGTTCCCATGGTTGTGGGTGGGAATTGCCCTGCGCCTGCGCTCTTACAGCCCCAGCCAAGGCAGCTCATTGCACACGTGGCCGGGGCTGGCAAAGCTCCCTGGGGGTGCCAGGAGCCTGGCAGGGACCAGCACCCACTGTGGGGCTCATGGTGAGGGCATTTTCCCAGTACTCCATCTGCTCCTGCCCAGGGGAACACACTCACGCCTCAGGCAGAGCCCAGTCATCCCTTCCAGCCTGGTGACCCCTGTGGCCACCAGCAAAGGGCCATGGGGATGCTGGCAGGGCAGGGCCCAGACACTGCTCAGCAGCTTTGCCCTGGGATCCCTTGGCCCTGCAGCCGTCATGGATTTGAGTGGGAGGGCAATTCCAGGCCATGCCATCACCACCTCTGAGCTGGGAGAGGACTTGGGGAAAGCCCTGGCACAGTGGTGTCCGCCTGCAAGGCACTGCAGGGTTGGCACAGACCCCTCCTGCTGTCACCAGGGGGGTCTGTGCCAGCCTCAGCTTCTGGAAGTCCTTGTCCTGCCTCATTGTGGAAGGTGTCACCTCAGGATGAGCTCCATCTCCACGTTCTCGTGGCATCTTGGGGTATTCCCCATCACCCAGGATGTGTCACCTTGGAATGTGTCACTTTAGGTTGGGCTGCACCTCCCAGGTCAGAACATCTTGGGAGTGAGACTGTGACACCTTGTGTGGGTTCAGGGCCCTGGGCACAGCAGCCATGGGGACACCCCACCCTGGCCATCCCAGGCCAATGGTCCTCCCAGTAACCAGCCTCTGCAGAGGTGGGGACCTCTGTGTCCCTGTGACACCTCACTGGACTCATTCCACCCTCCAGCACCAGCACAGCCACGGGTACCACTGCCATGGGGTATGTGTGACACCACTGCCATGGGGTGTGTGTGACACAAGGGGCTTGGGGTGCCTCAGGTGCCTTGGGTGCTTGTGCCACCTACACTGCTGGTGCCTCACCCCAAGGACACCCTGGTCCCTGTGGGTGCCCTTTCTTACTCCCAAGGTGTTGGCTGAGCACAGCAAGGCAGGTGCCAGCCAAGCTGGCTCTGCTGTGACACCCTCTCCATCAGCCATCCTTGTCCCGGTGTGTAGGTGACATCCAGCTGGGCAGGAAGGCCAGGAGACCTGGCTTGTGCATGGCACAGAGGTACCAGCAGGTCTCTGTGGGATGGCACCAGGCTGGGAGGGCTGTGCCATACCCAAGGACAACACTCTTGCCATGCTCCCACTGTGTTCCACTCACTGAACTGGTGAAATCCCAGCCTGGCCATTGGGTCAGAGTGACCAGGTTGCTTCTGGAATTGCCTGTTCCCTGGGCTCTGCAGGAATAGCAGCACCCCCGGGCTGTGCAGGACTCCACTGAGCTATTTCCAGCCCACGGGGACATTTCCCTTGTAACTGAGAGCTGGAGGGAGCTGTGAACTCCTGTGCTGGTAGAGGCTGCAGCAGGGGCAGGGGAAGCTCTGGACAGGCACCCCGAGCCAGGATGGGGTGTTGGCAGTGGCAGCATGGCCCCAGTGCCAGCTGGACACGTGGCTCGACCCTTGGGGTCACACAGCCCTGGCTATGGAGCTGTGTGGCCCTGTCCATGTGCTGGTGTCCCCAGTGCTGCCAGGTCAGACCCCAGGGCTGTGTCCTCCCGCTCAGCATGGCCAGGAAGATTCTGCCCCAACATTCCCATGGATTTGAGGATCTTGTGGGACATCAGGCATTAGAATCCAGGCTGGCAAGTCCAAAGGGTAACTGGGTGATCAGGGATGCTTGGGATGACCCAAGGATGGATGTGGAGCCAGGAAGTCTTGCCCTGAATGAACAGAGGATGCCCCTCATGGGACTTCCCTGGGGTGGGTTGGTGAAGCCTCCTATGGCTGCTGGCCAGGGTAGAAGAACAGTGGGACCTCTTGGACATCCTTCATGTGGAAGAAGGGGCTCTTCCAGCCCCAGCCATGCCACAGCATGTCCCTTTGGTCCCCCAGAATTCCCCCAAGCTGCAAGGGACACTGCAGGTGGACGTTCCTCGACATACAGTGAGACATCTGCCTGTGTCAAAATACCTGACATTTCCTGGCCATCTGCTCCCTCATGGACCCAGATCTCCTCAGTCAGAAAGCAGCAGGTGCTTCATCTCCCACCTTCCTCATCTTCATGTCTTCTACAGGTCAGGGTTCATGGTTCCTTAAAGGCCTTAAGAGTGGGAAGACAGTGGAAGAAACGCCCTGCAGCAGTGATTCCCTATTTTCATCTCTATTTAGAAAGCTCCAAGCCTGGTTTTAATCCATTTCGTAGATCCTGGTGAGGTTTCTTTACCATATATTAATAAAAATACCATAAGGTTCTATCCAACCATTTATAGAAATCAAATCACTTCATAACTTTTTTTAATTAAACTTAAAATTTTCTCTACAAATGAGGTCAAGTTAGTTTGACAAAACCGTTTCCTAGACTTCTGTCTGCATTGAAAACCAGGAATATATTTGTTACATGCTGGTGTTTTGGGATCATGAAGCTTCTGGGATGTGATGATGTATCTGAGCATCCTGAGTTTTGGGGTGCACAAGGGTCTGGAGAGCCAACCCCATCCTCAGTCCCATCCTTGTGCTTGTGTCCTCTGGGCTGCTTGAACCCTTGTGGGACACTTCCCTCTGAAGATGTTGGCCCAGCTGACCCCAAGCTGGAGCTGGAGCCGGGCTCCCCCCTGCTCTGAGTCCTGGGCTGGAAGGGCCACGAGCTGGAGGAGCACTGGGGGGATGGCCCTGAGCAAAGGCCATGGGGACCCCACAGAGCCTGGAGGGAAGGGACATCACCATGAAAATGGGTCTCACAGGAATGGTGGGGTCTGCAACAGGTCCAACTGGAAAATCCCAGGAACTCCCTGACAGCTTCTTTGTGTCCAGTCAATTTCTGTGAGGTTTTAAAGGGCTTGGCCAGAATAAAGGCAGGTTTAGATATTTAGGATACAAGGTCCTGACAAGACCCGCCCTGGGAGGATACAGGGAGCACAGGACTTGCAGGAGCCAGTGGATTATACCCCCAGGGAAGCAGGGATTGGAATCTGGGAAGGGGAAGGGGGCGTGTGAAAAGCCATCCCCGCAGCCCTGCCACCGCCGGCCCCACGCTCAGGGCTCCGATTTCTGCTGGAGGGGGAGAGCGTCCCTCCAGGGCCACCTGTGCCCATCTGTCCCTTCTCACCGTCCTCCTGGAGGACCCGTTTTGCTGTCAGGTCGTTGCTGTTCTGTCCATCCCCGTGCAGGGATGGAAGGGACACTGTGATGTTCGGCCATGCCTCTCCTTCCCGCACAGACCTGGATGCAAATCGGCCACGGCATCCTGTGGCACCCAGAACCTGCTCCATGGGGTCTCCATCCCCGCTGTCACCACCTGAAAAAATGAAAATAAAACTCTGAAAAAGCTCATAAAAGTCCCAGCATAAGAAAGAGGTGGCAGGGGCAATGCGAGCCAGGGACCCGCAGGGAGGTCAAGTCCCCGAGGTGAAAAGGGCGAGGTCTCCTCTCCGTTGCCGCCCATCTGCTTGGCACAATGCAAGGTGTGAACACGGGGAGCCCCGGTGTCACTTTACACCGTGGCTGTCCCCTCCCGGAGCCCACGAGGGCCCCCAGGTGCGGACGTCACCCTTGGCTGGCAGCGGGGCGAGGGGCTGGGGCCAGCGGCAGCGGGGCTGCAGCGGGGCTGCTCCTGCCGCTCCCCCGTACAGTTGCCGTGCCGTATTTTTAGCCTCCGGAGGGTGTTAAGCCCGTAACCTTCGGCCCATTTTGCGCTCATCAGCCGGCCATGTGCAGGTCAGCACAATTCACCATGGATCGGGAGACCATGTAGGGGAAACAGGGAGAAGGAGGTGGGGAGGGGACAGGGGCTTTATGTGACACCTTGAAGGTCACAGGAAATAAAGCCCGTGAGCAGCACGCCAGCAGGGACATCCCCATCTGAGCACCTGGGGGATATGTCTCTTTTTCCTCGAGGCATGGATTGTGGTGGGTGCTGGCATGGCCTGGCCATGAGTGGTGGGTGATGGCCCCTCTGGGTCAGAGGGTTCACACAGACCCCTGACAAAGTCCTGAGGACTCTCAGGGTCTCCTCTGCTTGGTCCTGCCCTCCTCTGCTTTGACCCTCACTCCTCTGCCAGCCCTCCAGGTCACCAGCTATTTTGGGGCCAAACTGAGAATATTCCTGTTCCCATCAGCCAAGGGGATCCTCTATTGACTCAGGCTGGTTCCCAGGCCACCAGGGCCAGGCAGGGCCATGCTGGCCCCAGCCACTCAGGGCTTTGCAGGTCAAATATAGATATTCCCATTCAAGAGGCTCCTGCAGAGTCCCAGGGGTCTTGCAGGAAGGTGACCTGAAGGACCAGGGTGGAAGGGAGGGGGTCAACTCCTCCGTCTGGGAGTTGAGCTGGAGGCACCTGTGAGCTGTGTACCAGCAGAGGACAGGGAGGGCAGAGCAAGGGTGACCTGTGCATCCAGTTTGGGCAGGTGAGGGGCTGTGGCAGCAGCTGCAGCTCTGCTGTGCCGGGGAACCAAGAGCCACTGGGAGAGAGGACAGGCTGGGGGGCAGCCTGTCCTTCCCAGTGCCCGCTGCTGGCATGGCACAAGCCTCCCAGTGCGACCTGATCCCCGCTCACAGCCCCACCAGCCCCAGCGCCATGGAGATAAAAACACCCCCCCAGCATCCCCGGGCAACTGGGCTGAGGGGTCTGGGGCTGACACCGCGATGAGCCCAGCCCAACTCCTCTTGTGCTCGGTCACCACAGGCCCTGTGGCCAAGCCCAGAGAGCTCCAGCTTTGCCAAGGTCCTGCTGGGCACAGCCCTGTGGATCCTGCACGGACACAGTGCAGGAGCCAGGACAGAGGACTGGCCTTGCCCGCTCTCCTCCTGCAGCCTGGGTGGAGGTGGCCTTTTTTCCTGCTTGGCATCTGCTTGCCAGCTGGAGTACAAAGGAATTATTTTCCTCTGAAACGCTCCCCTGGCATGAGATGTTTGGGGGGATTATTTAGACTAGCAGCAACTGTTTGTAACAGAGACAGTATAGCCGTGATCTTTTATTTTTGGCACCCGCTGACCGATGTTAAATTGCAGTTGGAGCCTATGGAAAATACGGATGGGCTCTCCTGGGCCACAGAACACACTCATTGTGTCCCCAGCAGCAGCACGGCGTGGCACATGCCTTCCTAGTGAAGGGACACTCACAATAAATAGCTCCCAAGCCCCATGGCCAGGTTTAGGTCATGCCTGTGGAAGCAGGACCCCATGCCAGGCAACCCCTCATGCCAGGAAGCCCCTTCCTCCTCCTCCCCCTCACTTCACCGCCCATCTTGGCTGGTGTGATGCTCTCTTGAATCAGGGCTGGGGAAAGACCCTTTTAACCTGCCAAGTGCCTACAGCCCCTCAAAATTTGGCATTTTTACTCCTTTCCCCAGTTTTAGGGCAGCTTTACCACCTTCCTGTAGTGCTTTGGGGTGGGCAGCAGCCCCAGTGCCAGGCAGCCAGGGCTGGTGAAGCCATAGAGCCCCTGCCAGTTCTGCTTTGCCCCCCACAAACACATCTTTGCACCTGACTTCTTGTGACAGGGACAGAAAATTGAGCTGGAGCTGGAGCAAGATTAGGGAAGAGTTCAAACCTCTTGGTACCAGCCACAACTCATCCCTCAGAGCCCTGGTGGGTGCCCTGGTGCCCCTGTGCCTGCACGGGTGGGACTGACTGAGCTGTTCTCATCGTTTAGAGCCGCGCGCCCCTGGCACGGGCCATGGGGATGGTGCTGCAGAGAGCCCCCCGCCAGGCACGGAGCCCCGGCTGGAGGAGAAAGCAGCTGATGGCAGCCCTGAGGAGGAGCAAGACAGTGGCACTGCCAATGCCTCCTTGCCTGGTGTCACCGAGGAGGGACGTGGAGAGGGGGAGAAAGAGCAGGCAGGTGGCCTGAGCAGGGGCCGGGGGCCAGGGGCCAGCCAGCCAGAGGACCAGGGCCAGGAAGAACAGAGCTCAGGGGAGGATTTCATGGCAGCTCATCAAGGAGGGAACCATGGGCCTGGCACACAAGAGGATATCCATGCCCAGGAGGATGAGGAGCCCAGCACAGAGAAAGGAGGCTCTGAGGAGGAAGGACAGCCAGGGGAAGAACAAACAGAGGAGCCAAGAGCAGCATCTGCTCCTGAGGGAGAGGAGGAAAGGGATGAGCAGAGCTCAGAGGAAGATGACGAGCAAGGAGAGTCTGAGGAAGGTGAACATGGGGAGGTAGATGGAGGCAAGGAAGAGTCTGAAGAGGGAGAGTCTGAGGAGGAGAAAGAATCTGATGAAGATGTTGACAGGCCAGAGAATGAAGCTGAAGAGAATGACAAGCAAGCAGCTGGCACTTCCAACGAAAAGAGCAACAGCAAACCAGCAGCTGCTGGCACAGGAGAAGCCAAGGATGGCCCTGCCAGCTGCCATCACCCACCCTGTGGGGATGCAGCAGAAGACCCACCACCAGCAGAAGATCCACCAGCAGCAGAAGACCCACCAACAGCAGTGGAAAACCCACCAGTGGTGGAAGATCCACCAGCAAAAGATGACCCACCAGTAACAGAAGACCCACCAACAGCAGTGGGTGACCCTCCAGCAGCAGCAGACCCCCCTGCAGAGAAGACCCCACTGGCAGGATCAGAGGTCCCCAGCACCCCCCCAGCTGCCGCCGAGCCCCGGCACAGCCAGATAGGTTGGAGTCTTTTCTTGTGGGTGTGCTGTAGCGGCGAGGGTGACCTCCCATCAACCCGGCGGAGCTGAGCTTGGCACATTAAACCTCGCCTAGTGCATGGCCCTCTCCTAACGCTTGTGCTTCCCCGCCCGTCCCTAACAGCGCTGGGCCGTGGGCAGCGAGGCTGCAGCAGGATGCTCCTCACACGGGCACTCATCCCAGTGGTGCCAAAACTGACTGATGCTGCCCTCTCTCCACTCCAAGTCCATGATTTCTCCTCAGGGACGTGAACATGGATAAAGTTTTTGACCTCCAGGCCCCTTTCAGCACTCGCAGATCTCTTAAAGACTCTTTATCCACCACCCACCCACAGAGACCTCCGGGCCCTCGGCTTGTGCAGAGGTAGGATGCTCCTAGGATGGTGGGGCTCCTAGGATTGTGGGGCTTCTCTCCACCAGTTCTTGGCTCGTAGAGAAGGTGTGAAGAACTAATCCAGGCCAATGAGCTGCTGAGGCACCAGCCCCACTCAATCAGTGAAAGCCTAACTAGGGGAAAGGGGCACCCCCCATCATGATTTCCTAGAAATATTTGTAGACTTTGGCCCACAGGTTGGGCAGTGACCTTTGGACCCAGATTAGTATTTTTGTTGTTTTCATCTGTAACGTCCCCACTCAAAAAGCCTCCCATTTTTCCCAAAACCCAGTTTGGTCTCTGTGTGTTCACTTGGCAAGTCAAAAGGTTTTCCTCAGCCCAACACTCAGTAGCTCAACACAGTCTCAGGGCTTATGGTGCCCTGCTCGATCCTGGTGGCCCCAGACCTGTCCCCAAACCCCTGCTAAAGCTCAAACCCAGCTCTCCATATCAAACAGCTCTTGGAAGCTCCTGGTGTTCCAGCACCTCCAGGGCAAGGACACCTCTGTCTCCCGGTTTTGGGGACACTGGGGTGCCTTCCCTAGTGGAGGCAGCTGCCTTGTGCTCCCCACGCCTGGTACAGAGTGGTGAGGGAGGGGACAGGGCGCTGTGCAGAGGGAATATGGAGACAGAGGTGGGAGAGCTGGGAGGGAACAGCCCCACTGGCAAAGGTGGAGCAGCCACGATGGGTCAGGCTGTCCCCCAAGAGCCAGAGACAGCCCCAGCCTTGGCACCCACCTCTCCAGCTCCCCGTGTAGTTTTTTGGGGTAGTGGGCAGACAGAGAGGCAGCAGCACAAAGCCTGCACCCAAGGCTGAGCCCTGCAGCTGCCGGGGGAAGCACCCGTTGGGCAGCAGCTGCCGTGTGTGCTCGTGCTGCATCCCAACCCTGGGAGCCCCTTCCAGGCACATCCTTTGCATTCCCTGCGAGCAGCCAGCCCCTCCTCGGAGCCAAGCAGTTGCCCATGACGCTTCTCCAAGCAGCCACAGCCCTGGCAGCCTCCAGGAGCCCGAGCTAAAGGGAAAGCACGTGGCATGCCAAGGGTGACAGCGGCTGCCGTGGGCATGGCGTGCCCGCAGGCTCGGGGTGTGTGTGCTCCCCATGCCCTCTCCCTGGCAGTCGCTTGTGTGAGCTCCTGTATGGGTTCCCCCCTCCAGCAGTAACAGGTCTCCTTGTTTCCTCTTCCAGAAGAGGTTGAAGATGCCAGCGAGCCGACCAAGCGTGACCGGTCCCACTTGGAGAACACCCTCAAGCTGAATGAGGAGAAACCTGCCGATGATGTCTCA